ACAATAATGTGTAGTTTTTTTCATCTCTGAGAATTTACTACTAACTGATAAGTTTGGTTCAATTTGCTTGACAAGTGGATTTGAATCATTTGATCCAGAAATTTTCAATTCAGTACAAATAGCCTTTTGCTCATCAGTTTTTTCCTGACAGTTTTTTTCCGGCAATGTGGCATTTAAATGGTTCTGTGTTGTTCTGATTGGAAATAGATTAGATTCAGCAGGGTCTATCGTGGGACAAATTTTACACGTATTCGAAGATTCGAAGTTTGCAAGCAATTGTGAACAATTGTGTGATGCCAAGTCATCAATAACAGCATGTTGCGTGGTCTCTGTATGTTCTTCGGCTTCAATTATTCCATTTTGAAGAATATCGATCGATTCATTGGTTGAAACTTCTTGAAAGCTAGCATCTACATTAGCAATATAACTTATGGAATCTGTATTTGCTTGAAATTCTTCTTTAGATTGATAGCACTCTGATTCATTATTTCCAAGTGTGTTCGAAACTTCTCTGTTTTGTAGAATTACTTTCATAGAATCTGCACTATTTTCGACATGTCTGAACGATGTGTTTGAAATTGGTAAAAAGAGTGTACGATCGTGATCAATGAAGGGATTTACCCGGTCATGGATCGTTCCAAATGTCTCAGTAGATTGTCCAGAAGGAAAGATGCTTGAAGACTTGTTTGTATCTTGTGTGATTTGTGTACAGTTTGTCCCGCTAAGATAAAGATTATCGAAAAAGCTTGTAGCAACTATAGTGTATTTTGAAATGTGTTCAACGTATTGGTTATTTATATCTGCACCTCCGCTAACAGATGATTCTAATTTCCCTTTATCTTCAGAACACTCGAATAAGATACTTTTCTCGATACTAGTGAGTTCTTCAGTGTCATGCATTTCGGTGCATCGATCATTAATAGTATTATTATGTTGATCAAGATGCCTGGAAAAATCCAACTTCTGGCCAAATTTTGACGAATAGATTGACACTGTCGCAGAGTTATTTTCTGTTTCTTCAACGTCGGTGTTCTCGTGTTTGCATATTGTTTGACCATTGAAAATATTCAAGAGCTTTGATTCAGCGTCTTTGATATTGAAATACGTGGTACAATCACTTGCTGTTTTAAATCTTTCCGCACATTTAAGCCAACTCACAGAAGCTACAAAATGAATGGAACTTTCTTGAATCTTTTGGGTTTTTTGTTGCCCTGTTCTTAGTCGTTTTTTCAAAATATCTGTTGGATCTGCATCCGAGGATGCAATCGCTTTGGCATGTTTTTCAATAAAATGAGATATTTGTCCGCTAAAGGTGTTGAACTTTCTATCGCATTCCCAACAAGAAGTTGACTTACACAGAGGACTGCTATGGATGTTTGGTAATGTAGTCATCGTAGGTAGGAATAATTCAGAATGAATAGTCAAATAGTGGTCTAAGCGACTACGAGCAGTTTTGAATTTCTTTGGGCATTTCCAACAAATAAATATTTTCGAGCCATGTGGTATCTCTTCTTTATTTGCTGATACTTTATTACTCAACGGAATGTTTTGTTTGTCTCGGTTGTTAAGAAGATTATTGTTGTCTGATTCAAGTGTTTTTGAATCAATAGGACTAATCTTAAGCTCCTTGTTTTTCTCGTGATTGTTGGTGTCCATTGATTTTTTGTTGAGATGACCTCCTATTGAAGTAGTACTAATCGAAGAAGAACCCGTATGTTCACTCTGGAAATCCGTATGAGAAGTGTGTGGGAATTTGTACCTATTCAAAGACTTTGAGCATTCAGAAAATGCTATAGTAGGAGTGGAAGGATTTTTTGCTTTGAACATTTCTTCACTTGCTTGACGGATTTCATTTTGAAGAGCATGGGTCGGATTAGTAGTTGTAGTCAGTACTAAACTAAGGTGTTTGTTAACGAAATGATTTATACGATCAGAATCAGAAATAAATTTTCTTGTACATTTCCAACATTTAAATTGATTGCTTCGAAGGATACTTGCAGTTGCTGTTTCATCGACAGTGTCTCTAACAGACTCTAAACTGTTGTTCATTTTATTGTGTGATGTATTTATAGTTGATAGAAAGAATGCACTATGTTGATTGATGAAGTGGGTAAGACGACTTTGGGCTGCTTTAAAACTTTTAGGACATTGGGAACAAGGAATTTTTTTTATAATATCTTGCTTATGTTCCGAAGTTTTTGCATGCTTTTGCTGGCTCGATTTTAGATTATCGGAAGATTTTGTTGATATTGCACTAGTCTTTGAAAGTGATCCAAAATGTTTAGCAATTCCATGTAGACATCGACTAGCAGTTGATTCCAAGTTCCCTTTGTCTTGGGAACAATCAAATAAGAGACTCTTCGAGGCACTCGTAAGTTCTTCTGTTTCATGAGTTCTGACGCATGGATTATTAATAGTACTTTTCCGTTGATTGAGATGTCTGGACGAATCTAACTTTTTGCTAGATTTTGGCAAACAGATTGATACTGCCGCAGCATGAGTCTTTCTTTTTTCAACGTTGCTGTTCTCATGTCTGAGTATTGTTTGACTATCGGAAGTATTCAGGAACTTTGATTCAACGTGTGTGCTGTTGAAATGCCTGGTACAATCACTTTCTGTTTGAAATTTCTTCGAGCATTTAGAGCAACTCGCAGAAACTACAAAAGAAAGGGAACTTTCTTGGCTCTTTTGGTGTTTTATTCGCCCTTTTGTTATTTGCTTTTTCAGAATATCCATTGGCTCTAAGTTTCTGTACGCATTTCTTTTGGCATGTTCTTTAATGAAATGACGTATTTGATCATCATAGCTTTTGAATTCCTCTCTACAGTTCCAACAATTGATTGGCTTAAACGAAGAATTACTAGGAGAGTTTGGTGATGCAGTAATGCTAGAGGATAATGGTACACAATGATCCTTCAAGTAGTGGTAGAGGCGAGCATAAGTAGAAATGAACTCCTTTGGGCATTTCCAACAGGTAAATATTTTGAACCAGTGTTGAATCTCTTCTTTAGTCATACGGATTTTAAGACCTATAGAAACATTCGGCTCATTTGCCATGGCTTGTGCATCCGCATCTTGTGATTGAAATGTTTGTAAATGGCTACAATGAATTGTATTTTCCTTTGTTATCTTGCTATGGTTTGCTCTCGCTAATTCAATATTCAACTGATCTGCTGTTGAAGTAAGAGTAGATGGATAAGAGTCTGTATGTTCTTTCTTCAAACGTCTGATACAAGGTTTTGAAGATTCGAAGTTTGCCGAGCGTTCTGAACATTCAGTCGATGCCACAACACGAGCAGACGTTTTTCCTGCTTTGGCCATCGATGCTGCTGCTTTGCATATTTCATTTCGAATCATATGAATCGGATTAGTAGTTGCTGTTAAAAGGAATTTAGCGTGCCGATGAATGAGATGATGAATACGACTCCTATCAAATTGAAACTTTCTCTTACATAGCCAACATTGTAATCGAGTGCTTCGAGACGTAGTTGAAGCTACTCTGTTATCAATAGTTTCATTGAGAGAATTCAGACTATTGTGTATTTCATTGAGTAATGGATTTATTTCTGACAAGATGAGTGTAATATGGTAATCAATAAAGTGAGAATGAAGGCCTTGGAGTGTTCGAAATTTGCGAGAACAATTCCAACAAGGAAAGAACTCTGCAGAAGCAGTCATATGCTGTGTAAATTCCATTTTCTCTTTGTCTTTTACTGGTACATTATCGAAAGAGTCCCTTCGTATTATATGTATTTTTGTGTATAGATTTGATTCTGTAGATTTCCATTTAGAGTTCATCATTGTTTTCAATTCTTCAAATGATGCTGCTCGGTTGCTTCTACTGTTGAGAATGACTTTGACAAATTTCATATTGCAACATCGGTGATGATCTGTATTGTACTTCATTTTTCTGGTGCACTTGAAATAAGAGATAGATCTGATTATATCATAATTTTCCACTGATTTCAATTAGATGTGTTTTGGAGTAGTTTTATTTCCATTGTTCGACAAACTTAACACATTGGCAGCGACAAGAGATGTAAATTTCGTACGATCTTGAATCGTTTGTCTATCAAAATATCTTGCCAAATAGATTTTCTTTATACATTCCAAGCAACTGACGACCGCTTTTGTAGATGCAGTAGTATCTTTATTAGTTTCCATCCACTTTTGTTGCATAGCTATTTTTTGTTTTAGAACATTTGATGAACAGATATCAATCGATAAAATATCTTTAGGATGCTTCTCAACAAAATGCCACAATTGATTCATACTTGATTTATGAGTCACTCCACATTCCCAACACTTAAATAATTCTCTTTTACTCCGAATCGAATTTTCGGAGTTACCAATCGGTATCGATACGAATTTAGGACGACTTCTTAGACGACCTTGCGATAGATTATTAGCGCATTGAAATGATGAATTACGACTGACAAAAACGTAATGTTGACGCTTAGAGCTCCATGGATATATCTTCGCACATTTCGAACAAGAAAGTGTCTTCATAGCTTGTGACATATGAGTATTTGTCTGCATCTTCGCTGGAACTCTTTTCATTGGTAATTTACTTTCAATGAAATTGTATAACGTAGTCATATTAACCAACCTAATTCTAGCGTGTTGTTTTACGATGTGTTTTATCCAGTTACGGATCGAAAAGAATTTTCTTGTACAAAAAGGACATCGTGTTTCTTTGTTTGAAAGATTTACATTATGAATTTTTGTAGTCTTTTCTCTTTTTCTCCGGATGCTTGCATATTCGGAAAGGTTTGATTCATTGTTGTTATTGATGAATTGCTCGGAAATAGCATGCATAGTAACCAAGTGTGCTGAGAAACCACTAGACGATCGGAACAATTGTTGACATGGTGAGCAGTAATGAACGTTTTTCCATAAAACTACTGAAGACTGTGCACATTGTGTTTCCTCATATCTAAAGCATTCTATGTCATCGGGATCAGCCTCTTGATATTCATTTTCTACAGCAAAATCTGTATATGATTGTCGATGGTTCCATTGAATTCTATACGACTGACCCTCAATATTGTAACCACTATGTTCCATTTGAAGTCTATTTAAAATCTTATGGATGTGTTGATAGTAAGG